ACAAATCCCGAATGAGGTTTTCATAGATTGATATTGATGGCCCAGCCAAAGTACCGGCCGTAACTGCGCGGGAACTATTGCTAGGCTCTGCTGAGCCTTGCGCAGCCCCGTGAAGCCTGCGAGGCTCTGCTACAGTCGTCTAAGCCCAGCTAAGTCGTGTTAACACCTGCTGAGCTCTTGTAAGCCCTGCTATAAGCGCTGGTTAGCCTTGGTAAGCCCTCCTACGCCCTGCTACGCCCTGCTGGGCTCTGCGAAGCCCTGCAGCGCCCTGCAGGGCTCTGCTAGGCCTTGTAAACTCCGGCAAGCCACGCGTCGCCCCGCTGAGCTCTGCTAAGCTCTGCTAAACAGGACGAAGCCCTGCTGGCCCTCGATGCGTTGTGCGTGGTGTGTTGTGTCTCGTGTGCTGTGTGTTGTGTGTTGTGTCTATTCGGAGGTGAGGGGGTAAGATCGAAGTGGAACGGAGAGCCCCCCTACCGGGAAATCGGTTTCGGTTTCGTGTTCGTGCGTGCCGTGCACGCGGGCGAGCATAAAGCTGCGTGCGTGCCGTGCGTGCGTGCGAAGCTGCGTGGGCGGGCGAGAAGAAAGTCTCCTCTGGCTGAGGCGCGGCCTGACCACATGTTTCCTTTCCGGGGGCCGGTGCCGCGCGGTGCCCGGCGGTGTCCTGCCTCCAGCTAAGGCGCGGCCGGACCAAATGTTTGTTTCCGGGGGCCAGTGCCGCGCGGTGTCCCGCTGGTGTCCCGTCGGTGTCCCGATGATGCTGATGATGTTGATGCTAATGCTGATGATGATGATGATGATGATGATGATGATGTAGATGATGTGGATGATGATGATGATGGTGATGGTGGTGATGATGATAGTGTCCCGATGATGATGATGATGATGATGATGATGATGATGATGATGATGATGATGATGATGATGATGATGATGATGATGTTGACGATGTGGATGGTGATGATGATGGTGATGATGATGGCCATGGTGGTGATGATGATGGTGTTCCGATGATGATGATGTTGATGATGCTGATGTTGCTGGTGATGATGGTGTCCCGATGATGATGATGCGGGTGATCCTGATGATGATGCGATGATGAGATGATGCTGATGCTGACAATGACGATGAAGATGATGAGGATGATGATGTCCCGATGATGATGTTATGACGAGGTTGATGATGGTGTTGACGATGATGGTGATGATGATGATGATGGTGTCCCGATGATGATGATGTTGATGCTGATAGTGATGATGACGATGATGGTGTCCCGATGATGATGATGATGATGATGATGATGATGATGATGATGATGATGATGATGATGTTGTTGTTGTTGTTGTTGGTGATGTGGATGATGATGTTGTTCATGATGATGATGGGATGATGGTGGCCCCACCATGATGAGGATGATTTTGATGTTGATGATGATGGTGTCCCGAGGATGATGGTGGTGATCATGATGGTGGTGGCGATGGTGATGGTGTCCCGATGATGATGATGATGATGTTGATGATAATGTTTTTTTTAATGATAATGATGGTGTCCCGATGATGATGTTGATGATGTTGTTCATGATGATGATGAGATGACGGTGGTGGGAATGATGATAGTGGTGTTCCGATGCTGCTGATGATGATCATGGTATCCCGATGATGATGATGGTGTTGATTATGATGGTGGCGATGATGGTGTACCGATGATGTTGATGATGGTTTTGATGCTGATGATGATGGCGATGATGGTGATCAGTTGATGATGATCATGGTGTCCCGATGATGAAGATGATGCTGGTGATGATGTTGATGACGTTGATGACGATGATGTTGATGATGATCGCGTTGATTGTGATATCGATTGTGATACCGATGCTAATATCGACATTGCGACCGAATGGGATATCGATTGTGACATCGATCGTGAGATCGATAGGTAGATCGATTTTGAGATCGATAGTCAGATCGATTGTGAGATCGATCGAAAGAAATAGATCATCGAGTGAGATCGATTGTGAGATCGATCGAGTGGTATCGATCGAGCGAGACCGATAGTGAGATCGATCGTGATTTCGATAGTGAGACCGGTCGAGTGAGACGTTGGTTCCTCCCCCCCCCGAAGCTCCTTATCACCCGAAGAGTGGTCGTATAGGTACTGTGTGTTGTGTGTGGTGTGTTGTGTTTGCTGTGTTGTGTGTGGTGTGTTGCGTGTTGTGTGAAATGCGCGTGTATTGTGTGTGTGTGCGTGTGTTGTGTGTGCGTGTCGTGTGTTGTGTGCTGTGTGTGTGTGTGTCGTGAGTGTTGTGTGTTGTGTGTGTGTGTTGTGTGTGTGTTGTGTGTGTTGTGTGTTTGTGTTGGTTCGTGTGTGTGTGTGTTGTGTGTGCTGTGTGTTGTGTGTTGTGTATGTTGTATGTTGTGTGTCGCGTGTTTCGTGCGCTGTGTTGTATGTGTGTGTGTGTGTGTGTGACGTGCGTTGTGTGTTGTGCGCGTTGTGTGTGTGTGTG